AAAAACTTTGTTGCTAGTATGGAGATCTTTTTAGTTAGGGTCTGTTTTCAGTGATGCACTATGGGGATGACTAACTATAGGCCTTTGCCTTTGTCCCAAGAGCCAATCACCTTGGTTAATTTGCTACAGGAAGGTGCAGTATAATTGATTCAGTACCAGTTCTCTGGAAATGAACTGCAGTTATTGTTGATGACACAAAGACAAACCAGAAATTGGCATATAGAAAAAGCAGTAGCAACAACTATGCTACCCTGGCAATAACAACAAAATCAGCAACAGTGATAGAATGGAAGTGAAACTGAATATTGACATACCACAGAAACCAATAAAAGCTGCCACTATACAATCTTTGGCCATAGAAAAAAGTTCTATAATGATAGCACAGATGAATCAAATATTGACATACAGTATTTATTGAATGTAGCAACTATAGTTAAGTCCCCAGCTTACAAACATTCAAGTTTCGAACATTCACAGATATGAATGGACCTCATATTATGAACATTCATACTGAAGTAACTCACGTATTTGCCGGACTTAGTCGCTATTGTGGTGCTGTGTACCTACTGTACAGGTTGATAGGGTGTAGCAGTACAATGCTCAGTCAGAGCCCAGGATGTCTTTTAGCAGGAGAGAAAGCAGTGGTGATGTGGAGGGGACTGCTAGGAAGCACAAAGCAATATACATTGTATATTTGTGTGAAAGGTGTATAAGTCTCACTTTGTTGGACTTTGGAATGAATGTGACTTCCGAATGTTCTGGAACAGAACTCGTTTTTAATTCCTGGACTTACTGTATATCACCATTAACAGTAGAAGGTAATTCTACAGTCATTGCATAGGCTTAACTAAATATTTAAAGATTAATAAAGCTTAATGTTTATACTAGTAAAGAGATGATGAATAGGAGAATGAAAGAAATAAAATTTGACAAATACTGAAAAGGAAGTTGAGAAAGATGGAGAAATGTGCGCGATAAATGATCCTATAAGGAGTAAAAATAATAATATTAGATAAAAGTAACAAGAGAATAAAAAGAAAAAAGATAAAACAGCAAAATAAAGAAAAAAGAAAAAGTTATAAGAAAAAACTCCATAAAACCAATGAAGAATGAAAAATAAAGAGAAATAATAAGCCCTCCCCCCATTCATTTTTGTATGAGTAGTTTCTTTGCAGGGTGTGCAGTATCGGAATCCAGCAGATTTGGAGCAAGGATAATGACTCAGTGCTATGACTCATTTTGTTTCCATACTCATGTTTTTTTGTGTGAATGCTGTATCCTGTACCCACTTTCATTCTGGGCATGGGTGGCCAATGGTATCACCCTAAGATTGTAGTCATTGGAAGCTTTTACTTTCTGTGACCCCTGTGTGCCCCAAGTCACAACCTTCTCTGACTAGCTTTATGGCCTTTAGGTTTGTGACCCCCCACCCCACTCCAGTGGGCCCTCTGTCCCTAAACTCCATGCTGTGGCCACCATCTAAGCCAAGCATGTTCTCATTCGTATTGGTAGATGGGGAAAGCAGTCAGACCACTGATCTCTTTACAGGATGTAGGCAGTGGGGCGGAGGTTCAAGCAGACCGCTGGGCTTAATGCCAGCACTTTCAGACCTAGCTCCCTCTGAAAACCATATATAATGCACCAGGCTTCTCACCATGGAGAGTAAGATTCCCATGTTCTTTCCTGCTTGAGCTTAAACTTTTCAAAGGATCTGTATCTAGCCTATGCTCTCTCCACAACTCTCTTTTGCCTGTCTCCCACCCAGTCCCTGTGGTAGGGTGACAGTGACAATCCTGAAGTATAGTTCTTCTAAAGATGTTCTATAGCTCAGTCTTAACCCTACGTAAAATTGCTCTGGATTAAACCCTCTCCAATATGGTGGGCACTGCACTGGGTTTCTACTTTAGCTCCACCCTACCACAGAGAAGGAATTACTTTCAGAGTAAAACCTCACACTATTTTGCAGTTTACAATAGATAGGGGCTTCTCTTGGGGCTGTTGTTTCTTCCTGAGCTGCTAACCCTTACCTTCTTTTAGCTGAGACAAGTTCTCTTTCCCAGGCTTTTTGTATTCCAGACTGCTTCATTCTTCCCTCTGCATTGCACTCCATGTTCTTCAGCTTCTCTGTGAAGACTAGTTTTTCTGTCAGCTCCCTCCCAATTCCTGGAGATTACTTTTTTTTTTTTTCCTCAAGTTGTTGTTTTCTAGGTGTCTCAATTCCAGGTCACGGAGAGGCTTTAAAATGTGAATGGAGGAGACCAGGGATTTAGCTCAGTGGTGCCACGCCTGCCTCAGAAGTGCCAGGTCCTGAGTTCGATCCACGGACCCCCCCCCCCCCCGCAAAGAAAGTGAATGGATGTCATGTTTCTTGATAATTTTGGAGTTAAGCTATATAGCTTAAGTCCTTTGACTTTTGAAAATATGAAGAGTGAGCAAGGGAGAGCTTGTAAAACTTGAAAATTGAGATTGAATCATTTTATAATTTTTTATATTCAGAAAGTCTTACACAGGCATTATATGAAAGAAGTCACATCATATTTGACTCATATGTATATAAACTCACATACTATGTCCCTACTGCTTCTGACTTTAAAATTTTTGTTAGACTTTCCCTTCTTATATGTTGTAGGAATGAGTATTTTTTATTGTCCTGACAACTTTTGAATCTAATCATTAGTTACTACTAGTGTCCTGAACTTTTATTATGACACTAGACTTATTCTTGTTTAGTATACTTTAGAGCTCATTGACTAAATTTTCCAGGTATGTGTAGCTGAAGCGTCAAGTTGATAAGGAAACTGATTTATATGGATATTGGTTTTTGCTTATGAGAAGACTATATTCCTAGTGCTAGTATTATTTTTTTGATAAATAAAAGTGGTGTGTGGTAATGGAAAATCTGTTGAACTAGGATTTAGGAGACATTGTTGTTTTCAACTTTGAATCACCTAAGTTTGTATTTGGGAGCAAGTTTATTAATTAACATTTCTAGGATTCCTTTCCTCTATCTGTAAAATTGAAGATGTGAACTTTATTTTTAAAGATCTACTTCTGTTCTTTTGACATCCTATAATCCCTTAGTTTTAAAGAGTTGCCTTTCTAGAAAATAGTATTGTATTAGGCATTTCATAATATCTTCCTCTGTGTAGAAGTTTGGGAAGTGGTTTTATAATCACTCAATCTACATTTACGATGACACCCATATCCTTTTCTGCACTGTTGCCTTTTAAAATTGGACTCAATTTATACTTAATCTTTCTTCGTTTTCTAGCCAGAATGCCCCAAGGTATTACCTGTAGGATGTGTTCCCTCTTCCTCATGTTTTTGCTTTTCCCTTTTATACACTTTTTCCTATACTCACTCTGAGTCTTACATTTCATTTATAATTATTTGGGCCTTGTATAATAGCTACTTATGTGTTATGTTATATGGTACTGAAGACAGTAAAATCCTGGAAGGCATATGTATAATTTTCATTATTTTTCTAATCTTATTGTTGATTCTCATAATACTTTTTGTGTAATAGAAGCTTAATTAATATTTGTAAAACTTAACTTGGAGGATACCAATTAGAATTTCAGATACAGTTACTGGTAGTGAATAGAGAAAAATAATCTGATAATGAAATTACTAGAGCTATTTTGAATTAAAGCAGTGCTTTAATTTCATGGTCACTTATGTACCATTACTGACTCATCTGTATACTTAGTACTTCTGTTTTCTTTCTGTTATACATTTAACTACTTGGATTTATTCATCACTATAGTTTAGCACTGCTGTAGTCTTAAGCTTTTAAAGTAACTAATATTGTTAACATTCTTGCTTTGATTTATATAGTATATACTTTCCTGACTTTTATCTTCTTGGTTTTTGCTCATGAGCTTATTGACTTTAATCTTCTGTTTGTTTGTTTGGTCCTAACTATTCACATTTCCTTTAACTTGCTTTTTTTTTTTTCTGTTGAGAAATCTTTCATTGTTTGCTGCTTAATGGCACCTGTTTTTTGGTTGCTTGTCTATGTAAGGTTTACCTTGTCATGTGTCTTAGAATTAATTCATTTTTGGTAGTGGAAATGCTGACTATCAAGAATGAGCTTGAGATAGCTTTTTTAGACTAACAGTCGTAGATGTTTTAGCAGTGGGAGAAGATCTATAATGGTGATGGTGGCTATAGCCCTTTGGTTAAACCGTTTGGTGCTGTTAAAAAAAAATCAGATGTTAATGGATATTTTTGTAGGTGGACTTGGTATATTTAACTTGAATTATAAAATTAATAAAAAATTTTCAGAATGTTGATGTTTTTGGTGAATGGGTAAAGATGATTTTTCTCCCTTTAGATTCAGTAATCTCTATATACTTTGAATTAATAATTGTCTCTGACAGGTGCAGGATTGGTTTGGACTAGCTAAAAGAACGAAGGGAAAATAAGACATTTTAACAGAAAAGAGGACAAGTAAAGATGTATGGTGAAACATTACCTATATTTGTGTCACTTGAAATCAGTAATATTTATTGAATAATTCTTGAAAACATGTTGGTGAAAAAAAGGACTTGAGAAGAAAATGTGTGAAAGTAGCCAGAGGGAGTATCTACAGGCCTAAGCTTAAAGCTTTGTTGATTTTAGTTCTATTTTTGCCACACATCTCAGTCTCTCTTAAGAGTTCATCATATTACCAAATATTTACTAGATCAGATTATTATATATTTATAAGAGCAAAGACTAGTTCATACATTCCATAAGTATGATGTTGATATTTAAATAGCTTTTCTCAGGAAGGTTATAGATAATTTTATTGACAGAATATTCTTTTAAGGGTACAAAGAAAAATATAAGTTGTCCTTTGTGTTCTGTTAGAAATAGTAAACAAACTGGGAGTCTTTATCCAGCAGTCTTTCCATAGTATATGTAGTAGAAACATTTTATAAGAGAAAAAAATGCATATAGTCATAGTCTTGGTTAAATTTGATTGAAATATTAAGGTGTTTATTTTATTTTAACAGGTATCTTTCGGACGAAGGCATTGAAGCTTGCACAAGTTCTCCTGACAAAGTCAATATAAATGACATCATCCTTATTGCTCTCAATGTAGGTTATATTTGTTAACTTACAAACATTTTAAATCTGAAAATCATTAATGAAAAACATTTTATAAGATAAACTGGATTTTAGGATAAATATTACAGATAGATAAAACCTTTTTTTGATTTTTTTTTTTCAGTTTTTTTGAGACGGTCTTGCTATGTAGTTCAGGCTGACCTCCAATGCATGACGATCCTTCTGCCCAGCCTCCCAAGTGCTGGGAATACAGGCGTGCACTACCAAGCCCAACTTTTGATCCATTTTAAGTTATAGTGATGTTTGTTGAACTTGGTAATTTCATATTAGCCGGTTATTAACATCTATTGTAAAGAATCCAGTGAAAAAGAAAAAATAGTCAGTACTCTTTTTTCACCCAATATTTACTTACAGAATTTTATAACATTTATAGTAACTTTAATATTAAAACCATTTATTAAAACAAACTATTATTTAATTTGCATGGAAACTTAGGATATAGCTTTCAGATGTTGAAATAAAAATATAAGTAAACATTCTTTCAATTCTGCATTTCCCTTCTGGTAGTTTTTTTAGTAAAAACATTTATTAAGAATCAAATTTATACATTGTGATACATGATCAATGAAATTCATAAAAGAACTGTTGTCTGACAAATCATATCCCAATAGCATTGATATAAAAGAAAGCAGAAATAGTGGATACTAAGAATATTAAAATATCAGATATATAACTGTGTAACACTTTCTTTTATAATTTAAATGTATAAATTATTAAATTTATATTTATAGAATTACACTTATATTTAAACATAAAATTTATGTTCTGAACTCTAGGTCACTTTACAGCTTTGAATTTTATTCACTAAGATTAAGATAAAATTTTTTTTGTTTCTGAACTGAAATTTTTAATAAAAGACAAATTTTTTATAGTAAACAGAAATTATGTATGTTATTACTGTAATGATATTTCAGTAGTCCTGAGATACTTTAACTTAGATTTGTACCCTCAAATTAGTGAATTCTGCTTTTAAAAATGTAAATAAATTTATTTCTTTACTTCAGGAGAGCTTTCTAAAGATGATAAGAGATTTTATGACAACTGCTGCTGTTTTTCTTATTTACTTGGAAAAAGCAGTGAACTGTCTATAGTTGGTGTGAACTTAAAATAAAATTAAATATTTGTGTGATGATAATTATCTGAATGCATTAATTTATCTTTATCATTTCCTCTGAAATATATGGTTCTGTACTCTAATCCAAAAGTATCATGCTGTATAATATAAAGAGAACAAACTTTTTTAATCAGGATGAATCCTATACCAGACAAATTTGCTTTTCAAGTTTATAGCCTTTTAATAAAATTCAAGCCTTTATAGTATCCTGTTGAATTGATTTTTCAACTTTTGAAAGATAGAGATACTAACCACTAGTTGAAAAAGATTGTTATTGATTCTTATTGTATACACGCACACATTTATTTATCTTATTTTATACTGGGAGGATAATCTATGCACAAGTTTTCTTATCTTTTCTTCCTCTTCTTTGGGATGCACTGAACTTGTTCCTTTATGGAGAAATGAACAGTTGAATAACACTTGTACCGTGACTAGTGCCCAAAGCTTTTTTGTGCTGCTCACAAAGAAACCCTGTTTAGCATGTACCAGAATTCCAGATCATAACCCCTCAACCCCTTTAAAACACACACTTTCTACCTTTCCCCCAAAACAAGTGCTCACCATAAACAAGTGTTTATATCAAGAGTAGTCCTGGCAGTGAATCACATTTTCAGTTAGGGAATGGTTCAAGTACAAAGTTTCCAGGCCTTGTCAGTGGGCCTTTGTAAACAAAGCTACCTTAAACCTGCTGTATGACTCTTTTATGCTCCGATTTTTATGTTGAAAAGGAGTTTCTTAATTTTTTACTTGTAATTTAGGGAATAAGAATATTAACTGATGTTGAAGTTTTATATTTGGTTTTGGTTCAAATATGAATTATTTAGAAAAAATTAAGTAATAGCACAGTCTTAAATTACTAAACATTATTAGTAAAAATGTGAAAGCAGAGTAATTCTGTAGAAATTCTATATAAGATGATTTGCCAAATAGGCATTATCCTAAACTTACTTACTTGAATAGTCAGCAATGTGTGTATGTATGTATTATGCTTCTGTAGGTAGATGGTTTGAAAATTACCAAAAGAATTTTTTTTTTTTTGTTACTGGGGATTGAACTTAGGACCCTGTGCTTGCGAGGCAGGCAGTGGAACCACTGAGCCAAATCCCTGGCTCTTTTATTTTCTGTTTCTATATTTAAAAACACTTTTTCATAGATTAGTATGTCTGCATTTTTTTCTGTGTTCATTATAAAAGTATTGGAACATAACGATTGTCCTAGCAAGCCTGACAATAAAATTGCTTTTGTGGTACTTATAAAGTGACTTTGAATTTAGGATGTTGGATTTGGAGTGCCATTTTTATCTTGCTTTAAAAGCACACTGAGAGCCTGGTGTAGGGGAGCGCAACTGTAATCCCAGCATTTGGGAGGATTGCTGTGAGTTTCAGGCCAGCCTGGGCTATATAGTGAGTTCATAGTAAGCTACATAGTGTAGTTTGGCCTAAACTACATAGTGAGACCCTGTCTCAAAAAAAAACCAAAAAAAAAAAGTACAATGAGATAACATTACATGGTATGTAGGTATAGCATGTTAAAAATTATGTAAACTTGAAATGTTTTGTCATTTTAGCCTGACAACAACTTTGTAAAGTAGGGTTGGTGGTATTCCATTTTAGAGAGGAGTAAATTAATTGGGTTTAGAAAATTTGTGAAAACGTCCATGGTCATATGATTAATTATAGTTGATGAATCAAAGTTTGACTAAGGCTTTTTGTTTAGTGCTCATTAACTTTACCTTGATTCTTCATTTTAGCTTAAATAAAATTTTATAATTATTGATAAAAACCAGAAGTGAGGAACTATGGTGTATCACAAAAAATATATATTGTTTCTTACTCATATTTAAATATTTCAGATTTTGAATCACTTTAAACTAGTGCCTATTTTTATGAATTGTTTCATTGACATTATGAATGTTTAGATAACAAAATGTCCACTTTTTCACTAAAATAAGCTAGGTGACTGACATTCATTGACTGCTTATTTTGTGCAAGTTATTGTGTCAAATGCTAACATTTATTAACACTTGCTCTTCAGAAGAACCTTGCTAGAGGGGAGGCTAATGTAAAAATATGTTTTATCTCTGTATTACTTGGTATTTTTAAAATGGGAAGACATACAATGTTAATAATTCTTTTCACCATGTTATTGGATTGAATCTGTAAAAAAACCATAAACCTAAGCATTGTTCCATAAGTGTTTGTATTTGGGGTTTAGCTTGCTTGGCAGTTCCATTTGGTAAGTTTTAGTTTAGGAATGATCCTTGCATTACATTGAGAAATTATGAAGTATAATAGTAAAAGATTAGATAAGTTATGTGGGAGTTAATAGAACTTAACTGCCTGTTTCTTAAGTTGACTACAGGTGGATATTTCAAATAGGAGTATATGGTTGTGGGTGTTCAAAGAAAACTATCCTATATTCATTTCATATCATAGTATTTTTAATCATTTAGTGTTTTTTCCATAAGTACAGCAAAAACATATTTTATGTGAGTAAATACCCCCTTTTATTTTGTCTTTAAGGGAATGAAGAGCTGCTATTTACCCTATTTTAAGGAATAACAAAACCGTAACTTTTTCTAATCTCACTATCATCTCAAGCATGAAGATAATTTTTTTTTTTTTTTTGATGTTTTGAGACAGGGTCATGCTATGTAGTTCACACTGGCCTTGAACTCACTATGCAGCCTACTGGCCTTGAACTCGGCAGTCCTTCTAGCTCAGCTTCCCAAGTACTGGGATTATAGGCATGTGTCAACATGCCTAGCCAAGATAATTTCTTAGTTTAAATAATTGGACCTTTCTCATGAGTACTGATAGTTTTGCTTTGAATGAATTTCTTGCCATTCCTTTAGGTTTTCACTTTTTCAAAAGGACTTAATTTTGAAAAATTCTGTTTGTTTTTTTAAATGTAGACTGTGTAATGCTTTCCTTTTATGTCAAAAATGTTACAACTTTTTAAATGTTAGTCCTTATGTTTTTCTTTGGTTTGCTGAGTTGTTCATACTTCTGCATTTTCATGTAGTTAGTCATTTGTTCACCAGCCTTTGTTTCTGTTTTTTGTAAGCAAGTGGAATAATTTTACTATACAAAGTCTTGCTTCTTTGCTATTCCAGTGGTACTGTTCTCTGGTATATTTATATGTTGCTTTGTTATGGTATAGATCTCATATCCTATAGAGCAATGTGTTTTCATGTCTGTGCATATCTAGGTCATATGAGATTCAGTTAAAAATGCACTATGTTTGTGTATTCAAAAGCTGTCATTTGATTTTGGGTTATAGCATTAATTTTTTAGTAACACCACAGTTTACATAAAATCAAGTTCAAGATTTTAATAGAGAACAGTAAGTTAAAAAATTACCTAAAGAAATATGAGGCTCAGTATGTCACTGTTCATTTTACTGACATGTCTTAAACAACTTACAAAGGAGCTTATGGTATTTTGAAAAGATCAGTTACATGTATGCATCTCAAAAATCACAGACTTTAAGGAATTTCACTTTTTGTTTATGAGATTAAATTTAAATTTACTTTTTTCTGTAATTCTTTTTTAATAATAATATTTTTATTTTAGACAGATTTGAGAACAATTGGCAAGAAATTCCTTCCCAGTGACATCAGCAGTGGTGGAAAGGTAGAAAAGGTAAAGAAAATTGTTAACTTTTAAAATTTTGCTAACTACAATAAATATGAATATTTACTAAATTACTAGAATTTCTTATTTTAATAAACTGAATAGAAAAATATTTTGGAGGTGAACCTGTCACTAAATCATCATTATGGTGATTTTCTTTCCACATAAAATGTTATTAAAAGTTAAATTTTGGTGACTTTTAGACATAAAAAAACTTGTATCAGGAATCATAAACATAGCATACTTATTTACACGTGAGACTTAACATGTTATCAGAGGTCAAGACAAGGACCTTTTCTTTTTTATTTTAGTTACCTTAATAAACTTGTCCATTTTATTTAATGGACTTATTAATATAAAAGTATAATGTTAGAAGATAGTATTAGGAGCAATATGGCAAAACTGTGCCATCATGTGCTATCCATATATGTATTCATGTTAGGAATTTTTTTAGTGATTTCTTTTTAAAATAAGTACAAGGATACATGTTTAATATATCAACCAGCCATTCTTTTCTTATTCTTTTATGTTGAATTTTTCTTTTGCATTTGAAAGTACATGTAAATTGTGTAAGCTAAGATTTTAATATATGCTTTTAATATATGCTTTTAAGGTTTTTTAATATATGCTGTTGGTCACTTTTTTTGAATTATTAAGGAACATTATTATCTGTAACTTACACAGATAATTTTAATTTGTATGTTGTTTGAATATTCTATTTTCACACTCATTTAAAATAATTGTTTTACCTTAGATATTTTATTTTTATTTATTTATTTATTTTTAGGTACTGGGAATTGAACTCGGGACCTCGCGTTTGCTAGGCAGGCAGCGGAACCACTGAGCTAAATCCCCGGCCTACCTTAGATATTTTAAGTTTTGTATAGTTAAAAAGGCCTCTAAATGTAATCACTTTTTCATATTTTCTAAATATTAATCCATGTTTTAATAGATGCCAGTAGTAAGCACCAAAAGGGCATTGATCATGTGTTCTGTTATTTTGAGGCAGATACTCAGGGAATAGGGTTCTACTGCTTCCTTCAGAAATTCATTTTAATGTTTTAACAACATTCTTTGTGAGCAAACTTTATATTTTAACCTAAATTTCTTATACTGCAATTTAAAGTTTATAATGTCTTTTTCACATTTCCTCTGGGGAAACAGAGAACATCTGGTGATAGTCCTTTGAATAATTCTTTGCCTCACTTTTCTTTTTACAGAAGTCATCTATCTTGATTCTGTCATCTTTGTTACACTTTTGAGAGTCCTCTCTAATTTCTGTTTTTTGTTATAGTAGTGCTTAGACCTCATTGTACGCTGGAATTGCTTAGACACCTGGGTGAGAGACCACCAGGCCCCAAATCATCCCTTCCCTTGATGAAGCCTAGGAATTTGCATTCTGAGTGAGTTTTACTGGTCTAGGAAGCATACCTAGAAAAAGCAATGGATTATAGACCTTTGGATTGGCCAGCTCTCTTGGATAGGCCTGATGAGTGCAGGAAAAGCAAGTAACATCAAAATAGTAGCTGTACATCCTTACCCTAGTTTACCTGAGAAAATTTTGGAGCTTTCTGGATTAGTTTTGTGTTTTCTCTGTGTCCTTAGAGAATGTAAGAATCCATCTCTGCCATGAGCTCATAGTGGTGGTAATACTTCTCTGTATCCTTCACTTTCTCAAAGCATTTTTGCTTCTAAATGTTTTGTGCTGTAATTTTTTAAAGATTTCCTTCAAGTGTAACTAGCTATAATTAAAAATACAACAACAAGTTTTCTGATTGTTCTGTACCAAATTTTGTCCTTTAAAACATTTTTAATGCTAATGTGACTTTATAAATAAATAGATATAAAATAGATATACATAGATATAAAAATAAGCCCTTTTCACATGAAACAGGAATTGTTACTTATCTCTGTCTGCTCTTCTTTAGTTATATTTTTCCTTTTATTACCTGCTCTGACACCAAATGTAATTCTCTCTCACAGTGTTAATGTAGGTATTTTGAAAAATATTTTAGTAAAAGTTTAAAAAGCTGACATAGATACTATTACTCATTTTGCTTGCTGTTGGTTAAAACTTAATATATAAAAAAATAGGTGCATGCCTGTAATCCAGCAGTTGGGTGGCTGAGGCAAGAGGATAGCAAGTTCCTGGGCAACTTTGTGTGACCCTGAGGGGCTAGGGACATAGCTCTAGTACTGCCCCCCCAAAAAAACCACACACACAAAAAAAACCCCCAAACAAAACTATTTTCATGCTGAAGTACATGTTAAAGAAATAGATTTTCTATGTGCATTTAATTATTTTGCCTTCTTTGTAAAATAAGAATAATTTCAGTAAAATCTACTTTATTTGTTCCTTTATTGGGATGTTTTATTAGTCAGCATTTAAACAGTTGTGTTTAAATGAACTGTTATATAGACATGATTCCAGAATCAGCAAGTCACTAAATTACATGTTATAGTTCTAGTGTAAAATAACTTTATTTTAATTTGTGCATAAACCATAGCGCATTTAGTGGAATATTTGAATAGTAATCTGCTTATTTCTTGGCCATGCCAGATTTTAGTATGAAGTAATATTTTCTAGTTTTCTTTTTCCATTAAGAAAGGATGAGGGCCAGGGATTTAGCTCAGGGGAGCTGTGCCAGCCTCATAAGCACAAGGTCCTGAGTTCGATCCCGGTACCACAAAAAAAAAAAAAAAAGAAAAGAAAGGATGAAACATGCGGATGTGTGTGTGTGTGTGTGTGTGTGTTTAGAGGGGGAGGGGAGAGAAGGTGGAAAGGGAGAGAGAATGAATTACCTAGTTGTTTTCCAATATAGCATACTAACTTTCTAAAAACTAATTTAGACAGAAACCTTAAAATATTTGATAGACTAGGTGTTCTAAGAATCAGAGAAGGCATGAATGAGATTGAGTATGGAGAGAAAGTTTTAGGGATCAGTAACAAACTGGAAAGATACAGATACAGTCATTGGTCAGTATTGAAATTCTCCTGTTTATTAATTTATGTGACTTTTGGCAAGTTACTAAGTCTTTCTAGATTTTAATTTTCTTATTCAAACATGATTCCTTATGACATTAAATGAGATGATATACATGCACGAAATCTAGTGCAGTTCATATAGAAAGTCTTGAAGATTCTGAACAATTTAGGATATTTTTGTTCCAGAAATCTAAAAATGCATGAATCTTCATTAACTCAGTTGAGTTTCTGGTTATTGAGAGAGATCCAAAGAAATTCAGTGAATGAAGTAAGGCAAATAGATGCATCATTATTGTGGATAAATGGATGTGTCATTATTGTCTGGTTGTTGACCTCAGATTCTAACACAGAACTCTACTATTTGTGCTAGACTGATCTCTGTAACAGAGTCAGTGTCAGCTCAAACCTCTGCTCTGACCGATCCTATTAAATTCCAAGCCTGTCTGATACTACCATTTCTAGTGAGAGGAGAAAAACCCAAAAGAAAGAATGAGACTTAGTATTTGCCCCAGGACTTAAGGAGCAAATACTTCTGAAGCAGGAGGGGAGAAGAGGCTGTCATCTTAGTAGGCGCAGCCTCTACCAGCCTTGTATAGTCCTTTTGAAAGTGCTTCCCCCACCAAAAGAGGAGGAAGAGAAAAGGGCCTCCCCATGTGTCTTCTGACCCCCTGGGAAACTTGTTCTTTAGGCCTGAGGCACAGAACAGAGTGGAAGCTTCTACATGTCGGGCAGGTCAGTGTTAAAGAGTGTAGGGAGAAGTCTTCAAACATCCTCTCCTGCAAGGCCAAAAGTAAATGCTCACATATTCTGTGTTACTGTTGTAATTAATAAGACTTAGATAACATAGTTTTCAGCGTTTGGGAATTTGAGATTAGAAAGAGAATGGAGAGCTGATGGATTTGTGATCAAGTAAGAAAGCTTGTAGGACTATAGTTAGAAGATTGGCAATCCTGAATACATTGAATTTACCACTCTTGTTCTAAGACAGATGTGAAGCCTTCTGAAAGACATTGTCATTTGGGTTCTGAAACTGAAGTCTTAATAATTTTTATTATCACTGATTATTTTGGTAGAAGGTAGAATAGCAAAAGTGCAAATAATTAACAATAATTAATATAGTTGTTTTCCTCAGGTTCTTTTTCTTTCCATTCATGATGTGAAGGAAGTATGAGTAATATTTTTCACACTCATCTCTGTTGTTTTATTTTATTTTATAGCATTTTAAGCCAGCATGTAAACATTAATTATGAATTGCAGGTTAACATAAAAATGTTTTGTTATCAGTCCAACTACTTGAGGACCCTTGTGCATTGCTGTGGAGTCTGAACAGGAACGGCTTTCATTTTGTGTTTATTGTTTTCTAAAAGATTGTGGAAGAGGGCATAAAAAGAATTAAGATGTGTTATGTATGTGTAGCAACTCCCCATGATGAGTATAATTATTATGTACTGCAGACACATACCAGTAAAAATAAAAATTAAAAAAAAACAACTTTAGGACTGATAGGTTGTATATACCTTTTTAAATGTGAAATTGATGAAGACCAAATTTTACAAGTGACTCAGAGCCTCAGCAATTCCAATATTAACCACAAGATGGCTGTGCTGCCTTAAAATTAAAAGGGAATGCATGCCTTCTCACCCTTGCAGTCTAGAAAATGGATCTTTTTAAAAAGAAAATAATTGAATAAAGTTTCAACTGCTTAAATTGTTTTGTTTCTTATATGTCAATTTAGCCTTTAAATATTATAGTTTATCAATGTCTCTCCTAGAAATTGAAAATGAATTGCTGAAAATGGTTTTATACTATATGTACAAGTACTTATTTGTACTAATTAGTATGACTGCTGTAGAATATAAAAAACTACATAAAGCATTATATATTATACAGATATTCTTCTGATAATTGAAAAAGAAAATATTTGCATTATTTTTAGGTTTGTCTTTTCCTGTCAGAGAGCAGAAAGGTAAAGGATAGAGATGGGAAACTGACAAATGACACAGTGGAAGAAGTGTTCCTTTTG